TTAATTAAGAATTGTTTAGTTTTGTAGAACAAGTTTTTAGGTATTCGTATAGTATTTTGAGGCTAAACGTGACACGAGTTGTTAAGATATTCTTAATTATTCTAGAATTCTTTGTATACATAAGTAGTCAGAGTTAATTTGAAAAACACTAAAATTACTTAAGTAATAGGGAAATATTTTTGAAAGTACAAAATTGTTGAATATATTGGACTTCCTCATACAATTTTAAAAATTTGCAAATAAATATCAAATTTTAATTTGGAAAATAAAAAAAATTTTTCACCTCATTTATATTTCCTTTATACACATTCCTTTAAAATCAAAATTTTATAATAAAAATTATTTGAAAAAAAAATAGAACGAAATATTTTACAATACTTAGGCAAAATATGACATTTTCCTCGTTAATGTTCTTTCATAAATTTTTCTTTTTTCCATCTAAAAATAAAAATTGAAAAATTGCCATTATTTTAATAAAATAATTGGAAGATAATTTACAGGAATGAGGTATTTTAATATTACCGAAACCAAAATGTTCTAAGTTAATGGATGTAAACTATAAGGCCCAGCATATTAAATTTGGCATATTGAGTGTGAGTGACTGTATTATAACTTGAGGTTTATGCTTAATTCCTTCTGAAAAAAATTCGCATACTTAGCTTGTAGTAACGCAGTAGAAGCTTGTCCTTAATATTTTTCTGATGAGGGCTAATAAGATTTTTAATTAAAATTCGTAATTAAAATTCGACTGTTAAAGTAATAAAGCATCAATTTTTGCATAATAAACTGAAAATAAGTTTCTTAAAATCTGACAATTCTGATCTTTATTAATTTTAACTCTCTTCGTTACACTTTGCAATTATTTATACACTTATTATACTTCCACTACTTTCCACTACTATATTGTACATGTGTTCAACTAGAAATTGAATTGAATTAAAAAACAAAAAAGGAAAAGCAATTTCATAATGCCATACATTGAAAATAATTACATCTAATATATTTTCAAAGCATAAAATTTCATTTTATTTATAAAACTGAAATTATGAATTCTAAATTAATCGCGGCATAGAAATATGTTCTTGTCAAATTGTTCAAAAGCAAAAGAAAAATCTGTGAAGAAAACACTCATATTCACATTTATAAAAATATATGTGTGTATACGTGTACATATTATACTTTTATATATACATAGATTTAAGAATATTTCCATAAATAAAATTTATCCTCATTCACCATTGTACCCACAATATTTTGAAAAAAATGTACATAATAATGGCGAAAGATTTTTGAATAGTAAAATTTTTGGTTTGTTCTTAAATAATAATCTAAATAGATTTACATGCATACATACACTTAGATGTGTGCCTATGTAATGATGCACTTATGATATCGGAATTTTTAATTGGAACATTTTTTATTTCGATAATTTTAATTTCCTATTGCATTTTTTGTTAATAAAATTTATTACAAATATGCACTCGTTTGCAATTTTATTTTAATACGGTTATGTATGTATGTATATATATATTTATATATAGGAATAATAAATAAAGTAATTAAGTTATACGTAAGCAGGTCAATTGTAACTGATCACAGTCACCGTTAATTAATTTAGTTGTTGTAAAACTCAGAGTGTGTTTCTTTGTTAACAAAAGTCTTCATATTCATCGGCACACATTTTTTATGAAATTTCTCGGGAAAAATATTTTTTTTACGAAAAAATTCTTTCATAATTAAACTCGGTGAATTTTAGATAAATTTTAAAGTTCAAATAGTTTAAATTGATTCAAATTATTTATAACGTATGCGTCGAGAAATGTTTCATAATTCTATAAATTTTTTTACACATACGTTCTTTTTTATACATGGAAATATCGAATGGCACGTTATTTTCACCTGCTATTAGTCTTCACTCTTATAAAACTTGATTGTATCGTGATATTCTTTACACTTTTCGTGTGACTTCATATAGAGTCATTCTAGCACTTGAGAGTTCGAGTTAAAATTCGTATTTGAAAGTACATATTTTGTAAAGTATACATGAATGACATAAACACAATATTGAAGCATTGTAAAGTTGGTGACGTAATAATATGTGAAGTAGAAGACGACGCGCAACAATGTGGCGAAAAGAAAACTTAAATAATTTATATAAATGAGTTTCAAATGAATATGGACTATTATACTATAAATAAAGGAGTAAGATGGACTATTACCAAAATATATGCGTAAGCACATTGCCTACGTAGTAGGATATAAATACTTAAATGATGTTTTAGACCACCGTTATATTATAAGACAATAGTACTCAATTTTTTAATGTATTGCCGATAAACTTAAAAAGGCGACACCAGAATAGGTTCAAAGATCACCATTCATGATATGGAACATATTGCATTACAATATTAATTTTGTCAACTTGAATATTTTCTCATTGTAAAATAGGAATTTTTTAGGAGTTTTTATGTAACTTATAATTAAAAAAATTAAAAATGAACACGGGACCAAATCACTGGAAAAAAAAAATTTTTTTATAAGCATAAGCAAAACCTATAATACTGAAAATACTGTACTGAAATTGTTGTAAATACTGCGGCCGCGGAAATGTTTTCATCGCATGTCTTTTTCTAAAAGTGTTTTATTATTATTCAAGAGAAAAATATTCGTATTTTTGGAAAAAAAAAAATTGTTGTTTTGAACTGCTTTTTACACTTTCCGTGTTATCCTTTCACTATCACCACAAAAAAATAAAAAAACAAATTTTTCAATTTAAAATTATTCAAATTAGTGGTGAATTACTAGTTTCCACAAAAACATAAATTCATCATCTTTTTTGTATGAAACCATAATATGAAAATATTAATATTGCTACATCTGAGACATCTATGATTTTAAATAACAACAGTAATATTTTCAAATTAAGAAAAAAATTCATTTAACCAAGACACAAACCTTTAATATAATATGAGAATAATAAATTGTAAACAAATTCAATATAAAATTAAATACTCACCTTGAGTATATAAAATTAATAAATTTTGCAGGTATAGGCATAACATATAGCCAAGTATATAGTGAACATAAAAAGGGCCAAAGTTTTAAACAAATAATTTTTCTCTGGGAAATGGTTTTAAAAAAAAATATTTTTTCAAAATGTTTTTTATGCCAATTTTGGTTAATTTTTATTGGCTTATATTTTTATTGCTTTTTGGCGAAGAATATTTGCACAATCATACATTTTTGTGCAATGCTAAAGGGTAAATTAGAAAATTTAAAAATAAAATAATTTAAGCTAGAATTATAGTTGCAGTCTGTTCTAATTGCTGTACTGCAAAAAGCACTTCGTTTTAGTTTTGCATTTCTAAGAAAGTTCTTCTACAGAATATTTTTCACGTTTTTTTCACAGCATAATATTGCTTAACAGCATAATATTGCTTAAACAAAAGTATATCGTATAAAGTCTGGTTTAATACCAAAATTTTCAATTTGAAAAAAAAATTTGATTAAATTCAAATTTACTTTAAAAATTTATTATTTTTGTTGGTTAAAATTTTGTAATTAATTTCGATTCAAAGTGGCAATATGTTAAAAAGGATTCATTCTAAATGTACAAATGCAAGAACAAGTGTATATATTAATAATTTTAGTGAACACTCAATGTAAAGTAATTTTACAACAAAAATGGCATTTTCTCACTAAGCCTTTCATACCATTTACACAATATACAAAATTACAGAAATTTATATTAATTTTACATAATTATGTAAGCACATAAAATTTACAGAAATATTAGTATATACACGTATGTGTAGTGTGTATACTATTTTCTGGTATTTTTAAAGAAAAGGAAATTCCGTTTTTCATCTTGATGCGCTCTCGACCTCCTTGTATATTTACAAAATAATTACTTATAAGCAATACATACCTATATATATATAAATCTTTAATATTATTATTAGATGACATTCCATTTAGGTGCTCAATTAAAATATAGCCAATTTCTGCAAAATTTTTCTTATTGCACTTTGCGTTTTCATTTAAAAATTTTTTTAGTGCTTCATTTTGTACATTCTTATTTACATTTCTCTTTAATTTTATCCTTTTTTTAAAAATTTTGGGAATATATTGTATTATGTATATTGTCACCCAAAAAGAATTTATTTTTTTTTTTTTAAATTTTTGCAAAATTTTCAACAAATTTATTATTTTTTTCTCTCTCTCTTCAATCTCTTAATGTCCCCAGAACTATACATGTAGATAATTAAAGTAATGTTACAATAATAATTACATATGTGGTATAAAATCATTATAAACTATACAATGCAGATTCAAAAATTATAAACTTTATATTGAGAATTTTTGAGTCACTGAACATACTCGCATATACGTACACACTTTATTTAAACTGTTTCATCTCCATACAAAAAATATTGCTTGCAAAAGAAGCTTCAGATGTTCTGATGAAAGAAATTAAAAAAGCTTTTGTAGTACAATTTTTTTTTAAAATTTATTTTTATTTTCATTTTTCCCTTTATTCATTTATTCTTATTTTTGTTTTTGTTTTTCAAATCATATTCTTTAATACCGTTACATAGTATGTTTAAACAATGTTGCTGAAACAAAAAGTATATTATGTTGTTAGCAACAAAAAAAAAACAAAATAAAATTGGAAAATATTATTAAAAAAGCTTCTGTTAAGTTTAACCGAAATCGACAAAATCTTAGCAAGTTAGCACCTTCTGTTTTGAAAAGAATAACAAAAAAGGAAAACAAAATAAAAAAAACAAAAACATAACATTTATATTGAAAATGTATCTAACTTTTTTTTTTCTTCTTCTTCTTTTTGTTTTCGTTGTTGTGTTACAAACGATATTTTATTATTTTCCATTGTGTTAAGCTTCCTTCAGTCTACCGTTTTACTTTGGTCGCTTAATAATAGGTCACCTTATTTCTTTGCGAAATAATTTCGGGGTATACTTAGTTAAAAGATAAAAAAAAAAAATAAAAAAAAAAAAAGAGATTTTTTTGTTTGTTTTTTTTTTTTTTGTTTTTTCATAACATAAATTTGAATTAATCAAAATAATTAATAATTAAATTAAGATGATCAAAAAAAATTTAAAAAAAATTAATACTCAATAATTTTTAAATTACACACATCTATACATAAGTAATTTTATTATTTGATTTTACAAATTATATAAAAATTTAAAACAAAACTACTAGAAAGTTAATTGTTAGCATAAATCTGGATGCAATTTCAATTTGACAAGTAAAACTAAGAGACCTAATAGATGATAGGAGACTAAAAGTAAAAATTAATTGTTTTTCATAATTATTTAAAAAGTGTTATACTAAAATTAATATATTCTATAAAAATTTTTCTATTATAATTTTTTAATGTTGATAAATTCTTTAAAAGTTCAATGAAATACGACTGTTAATCCCAAAACTTCTCGCGTATTTTTGTGTAAATTGTTGAAAGAAATTTTGAAATTGATCGTAACAATATTTTTGAGCTCATTTAAAATTTGAACTGAAATTAATTGGGTTCACAGCATTTTATATAAAAAAATTTAAAAAATTTAATTTTTACCTTTATTAAACTTTAAATATACCCCTACATACTGGGCGGAATTTATTAAAAACTGGTGATTTTTAACATTAAAACAAAAACAAGAAATAATAATAGCAATTTTTTTTCTTTTTATCACAAGTGTACATAATATATGAAATAATTTAATTATTATTATTTTTTTATTTAAAAAAAAATATTCATATAAGCTTTATAATATATATACATATATGGAGAGAGTATGTATATATATGTAAATGAGTTTGTGTTTTATAGCTAAGAAAATAAAAAATGAATGTGAAAAATATTAAAAAATTTTATAATAATTAAATTACGACGAAACAAAGTTTTTGTATTTTAAACAAAACGACCTCATAATAATAAAATTAATATATATATATATATATATATATATAAAATTTTTTGTTTGTTTTTTAAATAAATATTAAAGTTAAAATTAAACAAAAAACCTCGCTGGATATCACACACATAATTTTGTTTGTTTTTTTTTATTATAAAACATATTGTATTACTTACTTACCCATATGGATTATATTCACACACCTTATACACATAAGTATATATATATATATATATATATATATATATATATATATATATAGTATATACACAAACGTATAGGTATATATTTTAAATTATAATATATAGGTAATATAATTCGGAAAATATAAGCATCATACATTAGATGTACATATATATATATATATATATATATGTACGTTATCATCAGTATAACAATAAAAAAAAAAATTCATTTCGTTCTATTATTCTACAATAATAATTTTTTTTTTGTATTTTTTTCTTTTCATTTTTTGTAAATAATAAAAAGTCTATAGTGAAATTTTTCTATTTTTAAGTGTTTTCAGACTTAGAGTGACAAAAATCGCGCAAAAAAAAAATTATAAAATTTTTTTTTTTTGAAAAATGAGAAAAAAAAAAAACAAAAAATTATTTCAGAATCTGGGAAATTTTCCTCATTTTTGTTTTCTGTTTTTTTTTTTTGATTTTTTTTCTTCTATTTTTTTTGTTGTTTATATTTTGTTCTTATGATTATTGTATTCCTGAAATACCAACCATTCTTATCCGGGATATATGAAACAAAACAAAAAACAAGGCAACAAACTAAATATACAAAAAAATTTAAATTCATATTTTGATACATGAAATTTCTATATAGTGTACATACATATATATTCCATTAATATTATGTACATTCATATTTACATATATGAAAAATAATATTTTAAACTAGAACTATATAACTATATATATACATTTTACATACATTCATAAATTACTTTAACTAAATTAAAAATATGTGAACAAAGTAACCAAAAAAAAAAAATTTATTTTTTAAAGAATTTTTGAAAGAAAAGAAAGGAACAAGTGCAAATATTAAAAAAAAAAATTAAAAATTAATTGACGTAAAATTAAAAAAAAAATTAAATGCCTTTAAAATTATTTCACTTTGCTTTTTAAAATATTTTACACTTACTTAAAAAAATTATTAAGTACAATAAACTTTGAAAGCTATTAAACTTTGGTTTTTTTATTTTTTGTTTTGTTCTTACTTTAAAATTTAAATCTCTACTCAGTTTCAGAATATTTTATTAACCCATTAGGGACCAATATGTTTTCAATATGGAGATCATATTAAAAAAATATTTAAATTTTAAATTTTAACTTGAATTTATTTAAAAATTGTAAAAAAATATCTGCAAGATATAATAACTGAGAGCTTAAACTTTAAGATATTATTAACGTTATTAAATCTGACTAAGATCTGAAATTTTTTGGTTCTGATTAATTTATGACATTATGAGTAACTTTATTTATATGCTGTCTAATTGCTGGCCGGATATGAGGTTTAATTTCTCTTCTCATTGCACTCGAGTAGGTTTCTAACATTTGCCTTAACTTTTGTAGTGATATTCAAATCGTAAATTATTCAAAGGCAGTTACAAGAGAGGGAGAGAAAGAGACAGAGGAAGAGAAAGAGAGAGACGAATGACAGAGTACTTTCATGCACAAACTGAAATATTGGCGTATAAGCATTCAACATAGTAATAAAAAGAAAAATACATATTGCCATTTGACACGTGAAAATTTTATTTTGACAGTCGTGAATATAATTATTTGACAGATAGAAATAAATAATGTGATAGGTGAATTAAATAGTTTGACAAAGAGAGAGAGAGAGAGAGTATGAAATTTTGGCATATAAAAAATAGTATTTTCAATTTGAAAGAGAAATATTAAATATTTTGAAAATAGAAATTCGCGTACCCAAGCCACTTTTACCCTACAATTTGTCTTTACTTTATATATGAAATATTTTAACAATTTTTTGTTACAAATATTCAATAATTTTTCATTTGGCCTAGATTTGAATCTATCTAACCTATATATTCAATTTTCTCAGGTACTAAATATATTTTGATTTTCTAAGTGTTACGTTAAGCCCCCCTAATGGGAAAATACTTAATTGAAATTCAATTCAAAAAAGATTTATTTTGAAAAAGAAAAAAAAAATTCTTTGAATATTTTTTAATTAATTTATATGGTTTTTTAATTATGTGTACGAGAAAATTATGAATACAAAATAGAGTATATATGTGTATAAATTTGTATATATAAGTAAATTAGTATAACGCTATAAACCTAATTTTTGTATACAGATGTACGCCAGCACACCTGTTTAAATATAAATAAAAATTTTTTCATTTTTTTTTTATTAGAATACTTTTTGAACATTTTAAAATTAGTACTTTTTTAATTTGAATTTACACTTGTGCCCGCCTTCATTTTACTCACCGCAATTCAATTTCAAATTTATAAAATTTTTTTATGAAAACGCTATTTACCGCCTTTCAAAAATTGCATAATAAATTGAAATATTTTTAGAAAATAGGTGGTTGTCCATTAAATTTTAGCTTCGAATTATTGAAAATTTAATTTATGCATTACTTCGAACACTTTTATTTTTTTTTTTTGTTATTTTTTCCTATAAAGATTCTCCCAATTTGTTTTGTTTTTGTAAAATGCAAATTTGCAGGATCAATCGTAATTTTTTTGTTATTTTTTTTTTTCAAAAAAAATTCCAGGCAAGTGCAGTTCATTTTTGAAGTATGTATACTTAAATCCAAATATACAAGCATAGTACACATTTTACATAATATATTTAAATTGAATAAAACAAAAAAAAAATTGCATACATACATATGTATAATTATATATAAATGTATAATGCATGTAGGTATGCAAAAGTTTTTATTAAAATTGCAATAACAAATTTCATTTTTAGGTATAACAATTTAATATTTCTGTATTTTCTAACAGTTTTTATGTCATAAAAATTTTTTTAATCAAATCGTAAAGTTCATAATTTGCCCTTTATTAAATGATTACATATACACACATGTATAGATATACATGTTAACTTGTATATACGCAAATTAATATTTTCGGTATTTTGCATATACCTATATACGAGTACATACTCGTAAGTGCACTACTTATATACAATTATTATGTATGTATTTATATTTCATTTTAAAATACTTTTTTTAAAATTCTGGTACATAGTCGGTATTTTCTTTTGTTATATTCCATTGTAGCACAAAATTTTCTGATTCATATACATATATACATTCATACATACTGATATTTAATATATAAAAATATTGAGAAATATTTTTCCCAGGATGTTGTATTGTTTTGGGATTTTAAAACTATTATACATACATAAATACATTAAGAATAAAATGAAATTTTAATGAAAAGAAAATGAACTTATTAAATTTTTATTGCTTAAAAAATTTTTTAAATTAATTTAATAATTATTTAATTAAGTTGATTTTTAAATACTTAAGTTTTACACAGTAATGTCGACACATTCATAAGTATTGATATAAGACACATATGTATGTACGTATTTGTATGATCTGAGATAAGAAGATAAAATATTATATTTCAGTATTTAACTATGGCTTCTATAAACTTGTTATATTCAAATTAGATAACGTTATATCGCCATTGCATTGCTGTATATACATGAGGTTGATTCATTTCTTTCCGCACGTCATACTTATTTAAGTAGGTACATATTGGATGATTCACATAATTAATATTTAAAGTGAGTTTACATCTTATTAACTGGAAATTTGACATCTACACATTGTGATACGTTTCTAATGAAAATTTAGCTATATATACAACAGTTCCTGATATGTATACTTATTTTTGCAAGATTATAATTATGAATTAATTTTTAAGTATTTTAAAATGTAAAAATTTTTAATTATTGAAAATTCCAAGAAAAAACTAAAAATTACAATGAAAATTAATTTAGAAATCTCAAAATTATTTATAAAATTGTGACATTTCGCATACTTCAATTTGATATGAAAAAGTTTTTGACTTCAATAAATTTTAATTTAATTGAAATTATTACTAATTCCGGTCTAATTAATATAGTGTGACTGTTTATCGTTAACCATACCGCAAGAACTAATGGCCCCATCTGTAAGTAAGTGTAATACGCAATATTAGTGTATAAGTATATAGAGCATTAAAATATTTATAAAATAATGTTAATTAGGAATAAGCATGTTATAGGAAAATAAATGTGTATGTGACACGCATATATAGTATAATCGACTTTTATAATTCAATTTAGTAAACTTGTTATAGTTTGCCGAAAAAAAAATATTTTT